CCTAAAAAGGAAAGGGTTTATTAATCATGGGTCTACATTAGTTTGGGGAAGGTAGGGTTCATGTGTCGCGGTTAGAATTGGCTATCTCATTGTATGGCATCTTACTTTCCCACGTTGATGAACAATTCAAAGTCAAAGGGTTTCTTACGAAATGAAGAACAGCAAATTCATGTGGTTTATGCCCTAAGGGCTTACTTTGCCTTTGCCCTAATTGCTCTAGGCTCTTTTGGGTTTGGGGTTCAGGGTCCCCTAAACCTAAGCCCAAAGCTCTAAACCCTAAACCTTAAACTCTCTAAACCCTATACCCTAAACATAGGTCCCCAGCTAAAAGGAGCTCCAACTTCCCACTGCCTCGGTCGCTGCCCTGCGCCGCGCGGGCGCCCTGGCGGCGGTGGCCGATGAGATCCACAGGGCACAGGTCAGCTTTTGCTTCGTAAGGGATTATGGGTCAGGGTTTTGGGACTAAGGTTTAGGGAGTAGGAATTAGGAGTTAGGGTGTATGGATGAGGGTTTAGGGTTTAGGGATTAGGCTCTGGGGTTTCGGGATGAGGGTTTGGGGTTTCGGGATGAGGGTTTGGGGTTCAGGATTGGGGTTGGAAGAGATTTTGGGTTTGCAGGTTGGATAGGCATGCTACGAAACACTAGTGCTATCTGCGATGGTAACCATCATAGGGGGATACAAACTATAATTAGCCTGGTCACAACTTGAGTATTTTTTCTTGCTTAGCTTCCCACTACTACGGATCATCGGGAATCAGCCGGAAAGCAACATGGAGAATGAAATCGAAGACTAACCTTTTTATGGGCAGCGGCAGCAAGGGCAGCTGTCAAGAGGCCAGGGCCCATGGTCCATAGTAATTCTCGGCATGCAGCTGCTTGCACAGTCTGCGAAGCAGGGCCACCGGGGTCAGCAGGGCTCGACGTCAGAAAGGGCGTGCCAGCTAAGCATTCTGTCCCAAGACCAGGTGGCCCTCATTGTGCAAGTCGTGCGGCCTGAAACATTTGCGTGGAAACATGTCCGTGTGACGTTCAGACCCACCAAGGAAAAAGCGCAGCCCCATGCACTGCAACCTGCCGTTATCATCCGATGGTGGAGACGACAAAGTGCACTCGCCCCGGGTCCTTCTGAACTGCTGACACAGAAGCTGCTGTGCTGCATCGTCTGAAGAATTGGCGCGCCGCCCACGCAAGCTTTCGAAGACAAGCAGGAAAATCCATATGTCAAGGTTCGAAGCTCTTCTGCCACGGGCTGAGCTGAATGCATTGGATCTTCCTGCTTCTGCAGTGTGAGGTTTTGAGAATATTGTAAGAATGGCCGGGAAGTAGGATTTGGCAAGATCGTCGGTGTGGATGCTTGGATGTTGAGTTTATGGTGCATATGTACTGCCCATTCTGGCAAGGGGAGCAACGCTTTGCGGTGGTCGGTGTCTGTTACAGCATGGGAAAGCGGTTAGGGATAAATGGACGCAGGATAGGTTCTAGGTTAGGTGGACGCGCCACCCTGTAAGAGTGGTTTAACAAGACTACAAGAGGACCCTAATAAAATCACCAATATCCAATATAGTCACAAACACTGAGTGCGGGGTCCACCAAGGTGTAATATCCAACTAACCTTAAATGGCAGTTTCCATGTTCTCTTCCATTATCCTTACATAACATGACCCTATATATCCTTAGATCTGTTTCGGTCTTACTGTGTCAGGGGCTCCACCTAAGGTATACGGTTTGGGGCTGTGAAGGCGAGCAGGTGCTACTGTCAATATGAGCCTTATTGAGGGACCATTGTGGGTGGACTGGGGGGTCTCCGTTGCGGCTTAGTACAGTCCCTGATACATTCCCTACCTGAACCCAAAAAGCGCATAAAATAATGGCTTGTTGGCCTATATGAATGGTTTTGGGCTGTTATTTTACTTACTTTAGGGGTTCAGGTACTAAGGAACCCATCTATTGAGAATATTGACTGTAGCTCGCATTGCTTCAGGCGTACGGGCCTGTCAAGGCTTTTAAAGTTCAGCTGACCAGCAGGATACTACGTAAGACTTTGAGCAAAAGTTAAACCCTACGAAACCCTAGACCCTGAACCTTCAACTCCTAAACAGTTAACCCCTGCCCTCAACCCTAAATCTCTAAGCCCCAAACTGTCGATTTAAGGGGTTGCAACCTCCGTCAGCATTGTTTTGCATCGTAGGGATTCAGCGCGCGCGGTATACGGCATGGAGCTCTAATGCCTAAACCTCTGCAATCCTAATCCTAAGCCCTATCTATCCCGACAACCCATCTTCAAAGGGTGGTTTCGGGATGAAGGATTAGGGGCCCCAAAGCCTAAACCCTCAATCTTACCCCATAACCCTAAACCCTAAACCCTAAACCCCAGACCTTAAACCTGTAAGATCCTTTAAGCTTGGGTACTGCCCCCACCCAGTAACAGTGTATATTAGGGGTCCTATTAAGGGCTATATATAACCATATTATAATTATTATCCAACTGTTACTGAACTGGGCAGTACCCAATATAGGGGCTTAAAGAATTACCCATATTATGGCTC